TATTATTTAATTTTACTTTATTTAATTTTTTTGAAAAAGAGAACAATATTGATCTTTGACCACAAAGAGGAAAAAAAAAAACATCAATATTTTTTAACCCTATTTGGCCCCTTATTTCTTAAAACTGTTTTTTCTCGAATTTGATTTCAACCACACATTTTATATGCGATTCACAAATTTTATTAATATTTCAATCAAAATTTCATCAACTTTTATCATAATTTACCAAAAATCTAAGCCATTCTTCATTGCATTTTTTCATGTTGTCTTTCTGTCTATTTCGCCGAGCAAGGCATGGGAAAAACATTTTCCACGATCTGATTATTTCCAAATACATATCATCAACTTCATTATCCGCCGTCTCCATGGCTGTCAAAAGCTTACATTCTCGAACATTAAGTGGATTGACTTGGGAAGAGATTTAGACAAATTTTCCAACAAGCAAAATAAAAGTTGACCAGAATATGCATTAATTTCTTAAACATAACGCAGTATAACCATTACCGAGTTTAAAAGGCAAAATAAAGAGAAGCTTGAACTCTACCTCTTAAGGTCACATAACATTTAAAAGCTTATTTTATTTATAAAGAATCGACTGGTCTTATACAGGATATTTCAAAATGAACAATGCTACATAGCACACAAATCATAAAGATACATCTGGTACTGTCAAAGAGGGCAATTTTAATACACACAAAACCAAGTTACAACACATACACGGCGAAGTCCATCTAAACATCATCTCTAGAGCCTGATTTGTTCTACTCGTGATGGCGCTGAGCAGGAGAATACACTGAAAGTGCTGATCCTGTCATGTATACTGAATGCTTGGCTATGCCTATGCTTTTCTTTGATGCCACCCACACCATCCAAAAGAATCCAATCCAACCTGATTCAGATATTACAAGAAATTTCAATCCTACACAATACATAAATCTTGAAGAAAAGAAAAAAAATATCTACATATTTTTATCTGATGACCGAGCACATCACATCACGTGAGAAAGAGACATGAAGTCTATTAGAAAGTTTCAATATTCCTAGATGAAAATAGAATAATGGGTAACCAAAAGAATACAAAAGAGGCTACCTGTAACTATAACAACGGCAAAGATGGCTAAAACTGTTGCGGAAGAAATGACGAGTACGGATACCATTAATGCCCCAATATAAATGGAAGCAACACAAGCAAAGAAAAGAGCCAAGAATCCTCCTGCTGCTGCTAAGGACATAAGAAGAGTAATGACAATGGCATTGATGGTAGCAGCAACAAAGAAAATCAGAAAGACTGTGAATCCTGTCAAGGTGAGAAGGGCAATTATCCCAACCTGCAGCAACATCAGTATTTCAGAGAAGAATATTGCAACAAATTCCTACTAAAGCAAAATCAATCTACTTAATTCAATAGGTTATTGCCCACATAACATGAGCATACCTAAACTAGTGCAAACGGAGATCAATTCTGGAAAATACATGGTATGAAAGCACAAGACAGGAAAAGATACATAGACAAAAACTCCTGTGTCTGCTCTTCATGTACTAATAGCAGATTAATAATATCAACATTTTAAGTACCCACTAGAGGCAGAAATTGCTATCCCGAAAGTACTTGAATTGTTAGTCTTGCAAATAAAGAGTCTCAACGAAGAAACTAGAGATATAATAATTGACTGCATTGATATCATCAAGGAATTAATTAGTGTAGAAGTGGAAAACTTTGTCCAAAGTATTGTCAATGACATGTTCAAGATATCAGAATCAGTGAAAGACAATCAGGAAGAAGAAGTATGGGAGGCTCCACAGATTCGCGAAGAGTATAAATGGCGGAGCCATCTAACGTTAACAGCAGAAGAGGTACATGAACTCTATAAGATGAGCATATCAAGTTGAAAGTAAATGGGAAGAATGGAGTTAATAGAAAAAGGATGTTTATGCCATTTGCCATGAGTGCAGATAGCAAACACTTTCAATATGATGAAAATGAATAGAAAGTCCAATAAGCAAGATGAAGAGCTGAAGATACTGACATTCCAAACCACAATACAAACAGCAACAAGCTAAACATCTTTATTTTTTTTTTTTAATCTAGGGGATAATGACATTCCAGATGTTTGAAATAAATAAAAATGACTGTAATTGCAAGTTTTATCAATTGTCAAGGAATTGGAGAGAATTGAGGCAGAAATATAATAGCCAGGTTGACTGACCATGTACTAAACTAGATTAGAAACATTTCAATATTTTGGGTTAATAACTCAGCTAGAGGAAAAACATTTCATGGTTTCAGTTCCTTCTTTTCTGACTGTATCAGATCTTCTAGCAACCACAGCATATATAACATTGAGGGTGTTGTTTCTATCTAGTTATTCATCGGGAAATCCAAACTTCATAAGAACAGAAAAAATTCACAAGAAATATACCAATCAGGAGCTTAGCACACTAAAAGTTACATAGTATTATTTACATGTCAGGCACTTTAAATTGATATGGTTTAGTACCATAAGCCCGGCC